ATGGGATTAATATTACGGCCGAAACATCCCGTAGTTCTTCGTTTTGAGCCACGGATTTAATCATTTTTTTAATATACTTTGATTTATACAGTATTAAGAATCGGATTATAACTACAAGTACTTAATATTCTTTTAATTAAAGTGAATAATTCAGTAAAATTTACTTTACATTTACATTTCATGTTAAACACAACCATTTCTAATTGTCAATTTGTTTAACAATTTGTAAACTAATAATATATCGATTGATTAATTAAATAAAATCTATAATTAATAAAAGTTAACATAAAAATCAAGTTTTATTAAACAAGTGTAATAAATAGATGTTTACTATTGTCTTACAATTGTATGCTAAGGCAAATATAATGGTGGTATTGGATCAATGTTTCACTTTAAACATGACTCCGTGTCCGGGAATAATGTAATCGCAAAGACTTAACATAATGTGTCGATTCTGTCGCTGAAGGGTTTCGTCTTCAGAGCCGGCGTTCATCCAAATGGTATCGTCCGAGAGGTCACTCTCGCACTCAAATAAGTCGCCGCAGATTCCGATTGTTCCCAATTTGTCGACATTCTTCACTACAAGACTAATGCTATCTTTGGTGTGTCCGGGAGTAGACACGATCTGCATGTCTGGCGACAAGTCTATGGTTTTATTTGATTGAAATTCATTGAAATGAAAGACGTCTTCTTTGTAGACAACGTCTCCGACGATATGCCGACAGTTTGTGAAGAGGTTTAGGTTTCCGATGTGATCGGTATGCGAGTGACTGCACACACATTGGTTCACGTCATCGGCGGTCACACCAAATGAGGCCAACGTATCGATCATATATTGTCTGTCCCACGGACTCAATGTGTCGAAGACAACAGTCACGCCATTGGATCGGATCAAAGTGGACGTCCCGTTGGCGGCCATCGTATCGCTGGTCAACCATCGACTGTAACCCTCTTTGATTATATCGATTCTACTCGTCATTATCTCCACGAAGACAATCGTGTCAACCAATAGATCCTCCAAAGAGTGGGCACAAGAGTGGTATGAATCGGCAATTTGTGAATGTCTTCGGATGTGTGTCTTCTGGACTCAAAACTGTGACAAAAGTTTTTGAGAAAATGTGTGAAAAATTTCATGAAATGTTTGCAATGTTTGGATGTTTTCAAAGTTTTGATGCATTTATTGACGTATTGTTTGTTTG